ATGTCATCAAGAACTCTCTTGACCGGAGCTAGCTGGAGTTAAGACAGCACTATACCGAGTTTAAACAGTTCAATGAGCTTGCCGGCATATCTACGGAGCCTTCCGACGCCCAGGGGCAGCCGTCAATGCCGCGGATGGGTTCGTTTTCTTTTTTGGTGGTTCTACTCAGCTTTTGGTCTGGCCTTCTGGCGGTGTCAAGCTTCCAAACTCGCAGGTGCTTGGGCCGGAAAGGACTAGCTTCGCCCGCCACTTCAGATGATGACGCAGAGAGGAGGGGTGGAAATCTTCAGTGGGTTTTGTTCTTGGCAACTGAGACATGTAATTGGATTAACTTGTTCTAACCCCAATGCCCCTCCACGGTCAAAAGTCCGGATTTCCTTTGGCCGCGGGGGCTCGCGCGAGTCAGATAAGCTACGTGAATTAGCTGACGTTTCCAGCATGAAGCCCCACGGTGTCCGTGGATGAGGTTCAGTTATTTGATTCCATGCTGTTGTGCGGCGTAGCACAGCCTGTCAGTGACTTGGGGCAATGCAGGCCAAGCGTAAAATCCGTATGTACTCCGTACTTCGTACGCTTCCTCCCGAGCCAGACACCAGCATGTATGGAGCTTTTCCATTCCTTTCTGCTGCAGCCTGCTGACGGAGGCGCTGACAGACGTTCTTCTTGGCTTGGTGGCTTTTTCTAGTTCCCTTGTCATCCCATGGAAACATGTGCGTTAGTATGCTTGGTATGCACTAAGGTGCTTATTGCCGATCGTCCGGGACGACGGCGTCGCGTATCATTCGATCGCATCGCAGATTTGCAGAATAGCCTTTGATTCCCCCTCAACTAGCCTGTGCCATTTGTGTTGCGCCGCTTCCGCGGCATCATTACAAATTCCTAGGTATATCCATCGGTGATAGGCGATGAGGAGGGTTACTATCGGCGTTTACCTTGCATGGATGATTGATTTAGCGGTGAAGCTTGTGCCAGTCTCTCGTTTCTAATGTGCCTACCCGTAGCTTCTACCAAGTTATTCTTATGCTCCCGGACTTAAGAGCACTAAACTCTACGACGACGAGCCGAGGTGCAGCATAATACCAGGAAACTCAATTAGTAACCATTTTAGTTTTTCTATGCTTACGTCTGGTTCCCATACTGGAGCGATGTAGCGACAATCACACACTTGGTCTAGGAGCTCGGGAGCGAGATTGAGTGGGTTTTCCCCGTGGAAGAAAACACAGTTCTCTTTGATCATCAACCGTGACGTCGATGGTTACACAAAACATCAAGTATTGCCGAAAGAGCATACGTTAGCCAGGAGCAAACAGTTGAATTCATTCTTCATGAATCAAAGTACTAAGTAAGTATGAACACGAAGGTCAAGTATTTACATCTGGTTCAATCAAATGGGCATGGAACCCAGACTGAACCCACCCCTACCTCTACCCCGCCATCCCCGAAAGTGCCGTACCCTCTCCATCCCTCGCTTGTTGCTCACGATAGAGAGCGGGCGATTAAAGAAGAATCCCGTAATCTCTCAGAGACATTGAGAGTAGAAGTCATTCGCCTTGGTACAGACGTAAGGAGACTGGCAAGTAGTAGGCCCGGTCCAGCCAATACCACCGCACTGGCCCCAGCGGACCTGTCCGGCGCCAGAGGCAGCACTACTCGTAGTCGCAGCAGCAGATGTAGTCGTCGTAATCAGAGTCGTCGCGCGCGAAGTCGTAGTCGGAACGGCACCAGTAGCAGCAGCAGCAAGTACAGAGGAAACAGACGTGTACGCAGGCTTCTTGTTGAAGCTGGCGTCCCACAGAAGGGCATCACCGGCACCGCTGAATGTCTCAGGGATCCAGCTGTACTTGTCGGTGAAGCCCCAGATGGTGACGCCGACGCACCCGGCAACGTCCAAGCAGGAACCGACGACGTTGGCGTAGTCGTTTCCCTGTGTGACGAGGGCGGCGCTGGAGGCGGGCAGGCTGGAGTGGCGGATGTCGAGCTCCGTGTAGGCGACTTCGAGGCCGAGGGCGGTGAAGCGGCGGAGGGCGGTCGCGAGGGCGCTGCGGCCCGGGGTGGAGCCCACGATCAAGTGACCCTGGAAGCCAACACCGTCGATGGGTGCGCCGGCGTTCTGGACGATGGTGACGGCTTCGTAGACGCGGTTGGTCTTTGCGCCGTTGTACTCGAGGTTGTAGTCGTTGTAGTAGCTGGGTCCTTCCATTAGTGATTGAGTGGTAAGAGGCGGGGGACTCTCTGGCTTACAGCTTGGCATTGGGATCAGCAGCCCTGGCAGCTCTAAAGGAGATGGGAAGGTAGTCGGTGCCGAGGACGGTGTAGAAGACGCTGGTGCGCCAGCTTCCGTCGTCTGCTGCTGCTTCATTGACGACATCCCAGGCGTAGCACTGGCCGAGATAGTGCTTTAGAACGGTGGAAATATGCGTGTTGATGACGGCAGTCAGGGTTGCTGCTGTCCATGATCCGCTCGAGACCCAGTTGGGGAGTTGAGAGTGCCTGGTTCCTGGTCAGAGTTGTGCACCACCAATGCTCATACTAAAGGGATGTTTACCATGTCAAGGTGTGGCATCTCAGGATCTGGCCGTTCGCCTTTGCAATATTCGGAATCTAGGCGAAATCATCGAGTCAGCCCGCGCTCAGTCTAATGGATCTAGCCAAGCCTCCATGCCCTGGCGCATCACGTACAATGTCTCCCGAGGTGTAAGAGAAGGTGTTCTGAGTAGGCTCGGTATACGCCCATTTTTGTCCGTTCTCAGGTACCAGGGAACCAAACTCGGCAGTGTTGTTCACAATTGCCATGTAGGCGGCATCCGTAGTTGTGCGGCGCTCATCGACGGCCGTGCCGAAGTACTTCAGACCGGCGCGGACGGCAAGGGTGTTGAGCTGAGCCGAAACGAGGCCGGAGCCCAACAGAACCGCGAGAACAGCCTTGGCGTACATGATGTTCGACTTTCTGATTCTGATTGATGGTCGATGAGCTGAGCGATGCGCACACGTCTGACAACTAGAGCATTATCTCTTATCGACATCTTCCCTGGGGTGGGCACCGTAGACTTATACATGATCCTGAACAAACTCCATCGCGAGGGAGGTCTGACCTGGGGTCACATTGCATGCTGCTTTCACCCTTTGTCTCTTGGCTCTCACTAGGTTGGCTGGCCATCGAACATGACTTCGGAATATTCCTGGATTCTCGACTTTCCCACGTGGGGTGTGGCATCGCCGGCCCGAAGGATGTGCTTCCCGCTGCTAACCACCCACGCAAATATTGGGGAAATTATCGTGGTGGTTCAGCGTCAAGCAGGAAGGACCCTCAGATTTCCTGCAGAGGCATTCATCCTTTTTACCCGGAGTGAACCTCTCCCAGCTCGATCGCGTCATGTGCAAACCCGCTGAGAACTATCATATGTCTCATTGCACCAGATGGGCATACTGGCCGCGCAAGTCAGACGGAGCAACAGCAGCAGTGCCGTGGCCATGTCTGGCAAACTGACTTGGCGCTCGGAGGGTGCTCCGAGAATTCCTGTGCCTAGGCTAGCGCGAGGGGGAGAAAGTGGGCATCCCGCCTGCGCCGTAGGCCCATTTTCAAGATTTCCTTTTTGGCGCGTGTGAGCGCGGGGTTGTTGGGCAGACGGAGGCAACCAGAAGAAAAGGTTGACAGAGAAGAGGAAAGTTGTCCGTAATGTGCAAGTGGTTGGCGTCGACAAGCTCATTTCAAGTTCCGGGCCCAGAAACCGGGATCTGAGAAAATTCCACCAGTAGCCACCCACGCTGCAATAATGAGGTCCAAGATCGATGGCCCTTAATGAACGCGTCGATATTTAGAGAACCGTGGCTACGGGAGAGTCAAGGGTTGACCCAATGCCGGATTCCCATATTAGCCTGAATATCTTTTTCTTCGCCTTTCCGCTGGAGTTACATCGCAGCAGGCGTCTAGTGCTTGGCAGGACAGCCAATTTGAAAGGCAGATATGCGCGCGTGAAGTCGTGAACGGAGATTCACGGCCAACGCCGGCCACTACTGCCTGAATGTAGAGATCAGGGGATGCGATGAGGAGCGAACAACCTAAGTACGCAACGATAGGAAGCCCCGTCACGGCTATCTGAGCAAATTTGTGCGCATTATGTCCATCATGAACAGGCCTCATGGTAATTAGAAGACAAATAGATTCTCGCGACGCAAGTCGAAGTAACCGCGATTTTTCTACAACTCCTTCAGGTGGTCTGTCTCCAACAACATTTTCCCCACATCACACAAAACTTCAACACAAATTTGCGCACCACAATTGTCTATCGCCAAATGGCTCTCGCGGAACTCTCATGGTACTCTCATGGATACTATCTATTTCAGCAAAATAGTAAATAGTGCCTGTGACAAAAGGTTCGTGATCAGTGGGAGGCTTGAACTCCCGGCCTTGGCATTACACAACATTTCAGGTGAAATATTAGTACCACGCTCTAACCAACTGAGCTAACCGACCCGTTTCCGAGTTGACGGTGGAGGGCTGAGTTGCAACTATGAATGGAGGGCTGCCCTTGGCTCCACAAGGACAATCAACCAGCTTGTTCATCCCAGAAATAGAGCAAGGAGCCACAGTCGAAACAAAGCTGCAGCAATATGTCTCGCTGAAATGCGCTTCTTTGACGAGTTGCTCATGTCTTTCCCATTTTTCTTCATGAATATGTGGTTCTATAGTTAGCAAAGATCCTACTCTACCAGAGTAGTCTAGAAGTTAAGGGTTGAACAGACAGCAAAGAACCCGCTTCTGTTTGGGCTTATCTCGAATCCTCTCACAACTTCAAGTCAGAATCAACAACTCTTTGAAATTTCGCGGTAGAACAGCAAAGAAAGATGTTTGATTCTCATATAGATAAACTCGAGCGACCTCGTATGTCTACAATAAACTTAGTCACAACAGCTTTAGTAAACTCCAGTTCACACTTGTCTTTCAAAAACATTGAAGAGCAACCTACGCTACAGCCAGCTCAGTCGTTGATTAGCCCACGATGCCGTTTGACTCTGAGCGCAGTCGATCAGAAGTACCATCCTCCTCAACCAACCGCACGCTTCCGGGTAGTCGGCGTTTACGTCGTCGGCCTGGTAACTTTTCCTTGAGGGTTTCCATCCAAGGCATTGCCCTCGATGCAGCGAGCTCTGCAGGAGACAGTGGCATCAACGACTCCGAGTCGATCGCAACCACCGGCACCGTCATCAGACTTCCTGACCTAGAGTGCTATCTGGGTCAAGGTTCAATGTCGATTGAGTGTGAGGTAGATGGCCATTTCGTCATTACGCCTTTGCGTCCGACTCGTACCAACAACACTAGCGCGACCTCATCGGATGCAGGCTCTCTGGTACCCTCCTTGATCAGTCGTCCTACCCATTACCCCTCCAACAGATCAACCATGTCACCTCGAGAGTCTATGCGAGGCCGTCCGCGCTTTGCGAACAGTCCGACGCTTGGCTGGGAACCATCCCGCCGACGATTTGGGTTCCACAGCGAGCCGTCCCCGGCATCTCTTCGCTGGCGACGGATGGAGATGTTTCATCGGGACAGGGTGAATGTAGCTGCAGTCCCCTCGATGCAGGTGTACCCAGAGATCAGCAGTGTATCCAACAGTTCCCAGCGACTCTCCGTGTCCCCGATAACTCCTCCGCCACAGTACCCAGGGCTGGTGCACATTGCCGGGACTGAAAGCTGGACCTCTAGCCCGGAAGAGCAGCAGGCCCTGGAGGCTACTGCAGATGACGTTATCGGTATGTGGAATTCTCGCGGTTGATCACTGAAATGAGGGAAATGGTGCTATCAGATCACTTGGGCGTTTGAGGTGTTGTCGTTTACAAGGCAAGGGAGTCTGTGTTTGGAATTAGGAACTTTGAAGAAGGTTACCAGGACGGCCTTCAGATGGAATATTTTCGTTATTAAGAATAAGATAGTCGTGTGAAGTTCTGAAGTCCCCCATTGTCATCATGCTTAGAGACAGATCCGCGTGTTCTATAGAAGAAACAGGCAAAAGCTAGCGTAGCAACTCAGCAAGCGAGTCTCACTGTCGCTTGGTAAAGCTCAACTGGCACTCATCCTTGAGAAAAAAGTTAGCATCTGCGAAGTTAGAGACTGAGACATGACCAGACACTTACCATTGGAAATAATGTAGCAAACACCCTAATCTCCTCCGACTTCTCCGTGGCATGATGCTTCCAATCAATCTCCAACGCCGCCTTGCCAATCATGGCAGCCATTGTCAGTGGCACATACCTCCTCGCAAGGCAATCATGTGGTCCAGCACCGAACACGAGCCAATTCTTGGTCTTGGACTCGGCGTCTCCAGTGATCCATCGGTCAGGGTCGAAGAACTCGGGGTTCGGGTAGACATTGGGGTCGTGGAGGGCCGGGTAGCATGACGGAATGATCATGGATCCCTTGGGGACGGTATACTTCGGCGTAACAGGGAAGTTCTTGGTTGCAAGATAGGGAACGAAGATGACGGGTGGCCGGAGACGGAGGAGCTCCTTGATGACGGCGTTGGTGAAGGTGAGCGATTCCAGCATGGGGAGGTCAAAGGGCTCGGTGCTGTCGCCACCCCTCGCGGCAAGGTTCTCTTCGCGAAGGCGCTCAACAACGTCTGGTCTTTGCGCCAGGACTTGGAAGAGCCATGTCGTAGCACTGCTAGACGCATCCTGGGATGCGAAGAGGAAGGTGAAGAGCGTCTCTGAGATTTCCTCATTGGTGAATTCCCTGATCATGTTTGAAGGTCTCACAGCATCGGTGTCGCCAGCAGCAACCTTCTCGCGATACTTATTGGACTCCATCATGTGCAGAACCCAGTGGTCAACAATGGATGCCGGAGTCGCGCCCCTGGCCATGTTGGCTTTACACGCGGCCGCGCACTTTGCAAACTCAGCGTGGACCTGGTCAGCCACGCGCTTTCCGAGCCAGACTTTTGTTCCGGGAATGTACATAGAGAGAGGAACGTTGACAAGCTCGAGTGCTGCGGTGACGAGGTAGAAGTCGTCGGCAATCTTCTTGACGGCGTCTTGAGAAATGTAGTCGCCGAAGAAGGTACGGCACGAGAGCGCGCAATTGATCTCGCGGAAGAGAGCCATGTAAGCCATGGGATTTCCGTTGTTTGCCTCACTTGCGGCAACGAACTTGTCAAAGTACTCGCCCAGCACCTTCTCGTGAACTGGGAGGTATGTTGCCATTGCCTTGTTGGTGAACAGGGGCATCAGGCCTCTCCGGTACTCGGCATGCTCTTTGCCCTGGAGGAAGACCCAGGCTTTGTGGCCGAGGATATCTTTGGCGATGGGGACGATACATGGCTCGGCGTAGGCTGGAGACTTGAAGACTTTGTGGGCGATGTCGCGATCAGAAGCAAGAACAACGAACCTGAGATATCAATGATCAGGGCATGCACCTAAGTGACCTTGAGGACTTGCTTCTTTGACTGAGCTAAAGTACTTACTTGTGGAAGACTGACACGCAGCTGAGGGGACCGCTCGCCCATTGGGCAAGGTACTCCTCGAATTTGGGGTGTAAAGCCTGGATGAAGGGTCCCATGAGGGGGATCTTGTACGCAGGTCCAGCGATTGAGCCTTTCCTCTTGAGATACATCACTGGCGATATGTCAGTCTTTTCCTTGTTATCTTCGAGGAGCTCAAGGTCTGCTCGTACCCTGATCGTACACGACGACGCCAAGAAGGAAGGTGACGATGTACTGCCATGTTGACCAGCCCGAAAAGAAAGCCGGCAGCGTGCTAGGCGACAGAACCGTCTCATTAGACCATGTTTGCCTTACTCCAGGCTGTACGATAGGCGTGTCGACAATTGCTGAAGCCATGTTAAAGTCTACAACGGTGTAGCTGGACCGTCTTTCCCGCCAGGAGAGCATCTAAGGGACATCTCGGCACCTCTTTAAAGGAAGCCATTGGACCCATCAAAACGTCAAAGGGGGTTTCGTCTTGCGTATTCGTATCCCGTCAACACCACCAAACACAGTCTCATTTCAACTGGTCTCTGTCTGGTTGAACCACATGCAGAACATCGTTCGTTTCTCTTCCCAAACCGCGGAACAAGCCAGCCCTGTGAAGTCTTGGCATCTCATCGACCTGCGGAGACTAAACCTCTTTCGGTAGTCAACTCGACGTTTGTCAGCAAACAAAACTGGAGTTTGACAAGGGAGGGAACTGAGCAGCGAGATCCCTAACGATTGAAACTGCGGCGACTAAACCCCTTTCGGTCAGGACACCGCAAGAAACGAACTCTCAAGCGGGAGCAGCTCTTCAGTCTTTCGCGGATACGCGGGCGAAGCTCTCAGACCATTGTCTCCACCATTGGATCACTTTCATCTCTCTCTCTCTCCTTTCGACCTCACGGAGGGACCATCGACTCACTCCAGTCCAATTCTTCCATGTCCTCATCGCCCCCAGTCCAGTCGATCTCGCACAAACATGCGCCAAACCCTCCGTCGGTCCTGTGCTGCGTGTGCAAAGTCTAAACACAGCTGCGACCTCCGCACGCCGCGGTGCTCCCGCTGCATCAAGCGCAAGGTCCTGTGCGCCTACGCCAACGAACCCCTGACGGCTGCTCCGGCTGCTTCCGGGTCCGCACCGGGGGGTAGCGCAACATCGTCGCCGGGACCTCCGCTGGACGGATCCGGTGCTTTGACCAACTATCGATTTGGATCTCTTGATCCTTTTGACTCTTATCCTCAAACTAGACTGCCGCGGCATCAAGTTCAACGTCTTATTCATAGCTGTATGCCTATTACGACTAAACCTGTCGATCCACGTCTAGCTCATTAACCCATGTAGTTCTCCACAAGATCGCATTCGAATACTACCCTCTAGATCTGAACGCGACGTCAAATCCATTCCTCGTCTCATGGTGGCCATTAGCTCTCGGTGATCCAGCATTATTTCACGTCTCTTTACAAACAGCATGTCTTGACGAAGAGTTGCTGGCTCAAAAAGGATTTCAGTCATCAGAAATTCTGATGGCGGATTCAGTTGCTCTACTTCGCCGGAAGGTTCAAGACGACTCAATGGCCATTCAAGATGGAACCATGAATTCAGTCATCACTTTAGCAGCTATCGAGGTGAGCTTTGGCTTGTTCGTTCCAACCAGAACTTCATGACGATTCGATGCTGTCACATGCTTACTGACTCTCTTCATGCAACCAGTTTGGCAAAGGAAATATCCAAGTTAGCGAAATGCACGTTGATGGAGTGAAGAGACTTGTCAATATGCGAGGAGGCATTAACTCGGTGAGACAAACCAGTCCACTAACTGCAAGGATGGTCAGCTGGTACGTTGAATACAAGCTCTATAGCACAACATTTGCGTACTGACGTTGTCTGACCTCGAAGGGTGTCGATGATTGTTACCGGCCTGCCTCAGTTTGAAACGCAGAACGACGTAGGCATTGGCGACGGTGTCCCTACGCCTTCTGAATGGCAGATAGATCCAACTATTTTGGACAGTGATCTATCCCATCTCGGCGATGTTGAGATCGAAAACGAGGTCGAAAATGTTTTAATACGGCTTCGGAGTATTTTTCGCCGCGCGCAGAAAGCACCGCTGCAACCAACAAGACTACATGACCTATCATGTTTTGTCATACACCGACTTCTGTTGTCAGCTCCAGAAGTGGTAGAGCCACATTCGGCATCTAGTGAAACTATCCGACTGGCGACTATACTCTACATCTTCATCATCCAGGGTCCGACGTATTACTCTCACGCCGTCATATTCAACACGATTGTCAATCGGCTGATGGAAAGCCTGGCGGAGCTCGTACCATACGCTCACTCCAGCAACATTCTCTTCGTTTGGCTTCTGACTGTAGGCATGGTTGCCTCGCAGGGAACCCAGCACTACACCTGGTTGATTGGCTTGGCAAGAGATGCTGTGGCACTGGCCCAAGTAAAAAGCTGGGTTAGTGTACTTGCCTGTCTTAGAAGTGTTCTCTGGCTGGACATAGTCCACGGCGAAGACATCTTCCGACCCCATTGGGAGACTATTTTCGGCTGTTTAAATTGAAAGAAAATCCATACGCCTGATTGAGTCTCGGATAAATGTTTCAGTATTGACTGAACACAACGCAAAGCTGGTCAAACTTAGGACATGACCGTCATTATCTCAATATTGGAGCGAGAGAGGGACTAGGTCAATATCATGCAGGCAGACGAAGCCTTCAGATCTAAAATGCCTTTTGTTTGGTAGTGGGCTCCGCAATCAATCGCATCAACTGCGGAGAGCCGGGCTTGGCTATGTCCCGTGATCACGTGGCATGCTATTTGGACCGTGGTGATGAAAAGCACCCAACTTGGACGAAATCAATCAGGCGCATATTTCTTGAGTTCACTGCACATTATTTAGTGTGTCATGAGACAAGTCGCTCGCTTCATACGCATCCAGAAGTTCAGAACGCCTTCTTCTCGCTGTACATTTGAGAAATGAGACATTAACCGATTCTACCCTACTGAAGCAATCACGCTGGCTGGCTGATCTCTCCTCGGCGTGTTGGACCCAGTTGGATCATGCCATCTGCACTGGTAAGGGGCGGCGGTTGGCCGCATACAAGCGACCTCGAATCGAATTTATTGTTTCTATTGGCCAACAAGAAGACTCAAAAGGGCATTGGGCAGTCCAGCCGCATTCCCCCCTCATCGAAATCTTGCCGCCACAGTTGGCAGCATTTTCTTGTCATTCTCACATCATTTCTGAATCAGTGGATCAGAAACAATGGGTTTGAGTCTGAAGAAGAAGTTGAAGGACTTCATCCGTGGTCCAAAGAAAGATGACGCCCCCAAAGAACCACTTCACGCCCACCCGAGTCCACGGCAGCAGGCGGGTGCGCTCGCGGAGAAGGCACCCAGCTCCTGCACGACCGATTCTTCGGGAACAGCGCAATCGATTTCAGCCACCGAACTATCAAATACGCTCCAAGAAGATACACGAGACGAGCCGGCCGCGAAGTTAACGCCTTCCCAAAACAGTGAAGGGTCTATTCGGCAGTTGTGGGACGTGGCATATCAAAACCTGCGAAATCAAGAAGAGAGCCTCGTACAAGAGTTCGAGGACCAGATATGCGGCAACTTGGCTGCTGGCCTTGGTGTCGGCGTACGTTCACATGCCGGAACGAAAGACTGGTTGGCAACGATCCTCAAGAACAAGATGGATCAAGTCAACCGGGAGTCTTGGAGGCTGAAATTTGGCAGCTCCGAGGTGGAAGTCCAGGATATTGTAAAGCCCGTCCTAGCTGTGGTCGACTGGGCCAATGATTTTGTTGCCAAAGCTCTAGTCTCAAATCCATACGCTTCGATTGCTTGGAGTGGTGTGAGCTTGTTACTGCCGGTAAGCTACTGCCTTTCACATCCGCTACCTGTTCTGGAAGACTGACTTATCTTGGATAATCTGCACAGCTGCTTCTGAATCCCTTGGATCAAGCCGCCGCTCTGGCCAAGGGGCTTGAGCACATATCGTCCCTCATAGTACGAAGCTCTATGTGGGAAGATCTTTATGTCCGGCGTTACGAGTCTAAGACCAGCGAGGCTTCGCCGGAGCCGCATGCTGCTTACAGACTCGTCTTGGAAAGACTGTACAGAGAGATCCTCAAGTTTCAGATTGTTTGCTATCGCTACCACAACCATAAAACTGGCGCTCGCCTGGCGCTTGATTCTGTGAAGCATCATGACTGGGAAGAGCTGCTTGAACAGATCAAATATCACGAGACCGAATTCGACAAAGTAAGCAATCATGTGCAGGACCAGGCGTATACGGAAGAATGGGAATACGCAGAGGCGCGGCATCAACAAGCCATGAACCATTGGGAAAGGATTGGTACAGATGTTTCCGATCTGAGAAGAAGGATTGAGGAAATCCAGAACGATAAGAAGCGCAAAGAATTGCTCAACTGGCTTTGTACCGTTGACCCTTCTGTGCAGTACAATGCCGCGCGTAGTAAACACCGCAGTGGCACTTGCGAATGGCTAATTCAAGATAACGAAGATTTCAAGACGTGGGAAACAGCTCCAACGTCTTTCTTGTGGCTCAACGGCAAAGGTATGACACGCAATAGTCGTGTGATAGGTGACATTCTTTTTATACCGCTGACAACATCTAGCTGGCTCCGGCAAATCGATTCTGAGCTCATCGGTCATCAAACACTTGAAAGAAAAGTCAGAAGAGAATCCTCAAGTTGCTCTTGCGTACTACTTCTTCAGCTTTGGGAACTTGGAGCAACAAAAGGTAACCGTTATGTTATCTTCGCTTATTGGCCAACTTTGCGCGAGCCGTCCCGATACGCCACAGCCGATCAAAGAATTCGAGAGTTTCGTGGTCAAAAGAGAGCGTCCAGATACGGACACACTTGAGAATGCACTTAGAGCTGCCGTTCGTGGGTTTTCAGCAGTATACATTGTTGTAGACGCTCTCGATGAGTGCCCGATTCTTGATGGGGAGCGAACGAGGCTTATGGACTGCCTCAGTAAGATCATTTCCAAAATGCCGGATAATCTCCATATCTTTTGTACGAGCAGGGCCGAGCCGGACATTCGTACTAAGTTCGAAGAGATGCCGTCTTTGCCAACGAAAAACACCATCAGTCTCATGAAAAATCAGGCGGGCTTAGACAGTGATCTAAGTCTGTACATCGACGCCACCTTAGCTACTGGAACGTACAAACTTTGGCCTCCCGAGATCAAGACCGAAGCCAAGGAATCATTGCTCGCGAAAGCGGATGGAATGTAGGTCAAGATAGTGGAGTGAACCACTCGACTTTATGGCGAAAGACCGCAACTAACACGGATTCAGGTTTCAATATCTTGTCAGCCAGTTCGAAGTTCTCCAAAAGTTAAATTCGAGAGAAAAAATACGTTCAGAACTTCGGAATTTGCCGTCAGGACTTGACGCAACATATAATAGGCTCCTTCTCGACCTAGACCCCGATTTTCAACCTCAGATCCTAGACTCGCTGAAGTGGCTAGCTTTTTCAAGCAGACCACTGAGCCTCGCCGAACTTGCCGAAATATTCATTTTCCGTCCTGGGGTTGTCATCGACCTAAAAGAAGAGCGACTTTTTGCCCCAGAAGGGGTTTTGAGATATTTCTCAAGCCTCGTGACTACCGAGACAAGAGAAGAGTATAGCTCTAGAGGATGGAAAACATTCACAGATGTCCGCCTCGCTCACTTCACAGTCAAGGAGTATTTGATATCTAATCGCATCGAACAAAGCCCTGCAAAGCAGTTCTGGTTTACGGAGAGGAATGCTCACCTGCACATCGCTCATTGCTGCCTGTCTTATCACGTCAGCCAAAGTGCCGAGGCCAAGGAGTCTGACTATAAGCTACATCTGGAAAGCTACGCAATCGAGGATTGGGTACGGCACTTAGACCTAGTTCCGCGCCATGAATGGTCATCTGAGGTTATCCGGCTCGCTGAGCGTGCCCTCTCCATCCGCAGTAACAGCTTAAAACTGCTTATATGGAATAGGCCACAATCCTATAGTAGGAAGCTGGCAGGTCCGTTTGACTGGAAGGAACGGATCAACTTGCAGCAGCGGCCGTACTGCTACACCGCCGGGCTCGGCTCTCTGAATCTCACCAAACTCCTGCTTCGTGGAGCTTCGAGAGCCATCATGTATTTGGTTCAGGAGGATCTCAACTTGACCCTCCGAGTCTCTGCCAAGGCAGGCCATCATGATATTGTACAATTTATTCTTGCCCGATGTGCAGGTGACAAAGAACGAGACGCGATCACTGTCGGGCCGCTCCAGGCTGCGGCATACCGAGGACATTTGGCCATCATAAGCCTCTTGCTGGACAGTGGCGCAGATATCAATGCGTACGATGACGAATTTGGGTCGGCTTTGAAGGCCGCGGCTATGGGCAATCAGCCAACAGCACTACAATTACTCCTGAGTCGCGGGGCTGACGTCCGCAAGGCAGGCTGTCTTTTGTCGTGCTGGATATCGACTTATGAGAAGAATTACAATGTCCCGGAAAATACTGAAGTTTTGCAGCTTCTTCTCGACAGCGGTGCTGATATTAACAACAAGTGTGCAAGACACGGAAGCCCACTGAATCAGGCAATCAAAAGGTGGTTAAGTCGAAAAACGCGTAGCTTTTTTGACTTTGTTGTAGAGCACGGCGCCGACATCACATTGGATGATGGGCGAGATGGCACCCCGCTCCAAGCGGCATGCCTCTCAGCCATGAAGAGAAGTGCTGATGGCGCGTCTAGAAGCATTGCAGTGATTGAGGCCCTGCTAGACATGGGGGCCGACGTGAATGGCCAGGGTGGGGAGTTCGGTAACGCACTACAAACGGAATGTCGTAGACGATATTACGTCACTGGTGTGATAAGTCTTCTTCTCGACAGAGGCGCGGAAATAAACAACCGGGGAGGCCGATATGAAACAGCATTGCACGCCGCCTGCTCCAAAGCGGACCCAGAGCTGGTTAACTTCTTGCTTGATAAAGGCGCTGACCCTACGATAGAGGGTGGGGAGTTTGGAAGCGTCTTGCAAGCGGCATGTTCCAACTACAACCCAGACCGCCGTCTAGGTATTGTGAAGAAACTGGTCGAAAAGGGCGCCGATATCAATGCTGTCGGTGGCAAATTCGGAAGCGCGCTGCAAGCGGCAGCTTCACACGGAGGCTCATACTTTTGCAAGGGCGGGCGTGAGGATGTAGAAACCTTTTTGCTCAGCAAAGGCGCAGAAGTCAACATGCAGGGAGGGATATATGGCACAGCACTTCAAGGCGCTTGCAAAGGAGGCAAGATGGGAGCGATTCGCTTGTTGCTTTCCCATGGTGCAGATGTAAATGTTGAGGGCGGAAAATACGGAACTGCGCTTCAGGCGGCTTGCGCGTATCAACAGTGGGAAAAGGACTGTTACGACATGCCACGCCTACTGATAGAACATGGGGCCAACGTACATGTCCAAGGCGGCCTTTTCGGGAGCGCCTGGCATGCTGCTGCTGCTACAGTTCCTGGTTGGAGTGATAACACCGAAACGATGAGGCTCCTTCTCGACCATGGTATCGATATTGACAGCATAGGCCGACCACATGGCACTGCTCTGCAAGCTGCCCTTGAGATCTTGGAGGATCACGACCGCCTCGTTCCCAGGCTCCGGCTTCTTCTCGAACGCGGCGCTGATGTCAACTTAGGAGGCGGTCAATATGGATTTCCGTTGCAGTCGGCGTGTGTAGCGCCTAGTAGTCGTGTATATGAGGTGAACATCTGCGGCCTCATCTACCTCCTCGAAAACTGCCCCGAAATCAACATCAATATGACAGGTGGGCTATTTAGCACGGCTTTACAGGCAGCAACGTCTCAAGGCAAGACAAAAGGCGTTGAGCTGCTACTTCAGAAGGGCGCCGACACCAACATTCGTGGCGGAAAGTACAGAAGCGCACTCAATGCGGCCATCTTCAAAGGGTATTGGGATCTGGTCGAGATACTGCTGGATGCTGGAGCCAAGCCGGACTGTCATCATCTTTCCGAACCCGACAAGGAATGGCTGGAAAGTATAGGCAGTGAACATGGAAAGGGCGCTGTGGATCGTTACAGGAAGTTTTGGGAGATAAAGACGCTGGAATTGAGTCAAGGCAAGGCGGTAAAAGGGGAGAATGACTAGCCATTTCCGCTCTGATTAGGATCATGTGCTGCCACGTAAAAGGTACTGAAATGATCATGTTAGCTACTACAATCTACTGCAATATTGCTAAAGCGAAAGAAATCATTCATTAGACTCATTTGCAAGCTGCCGGATTGAAGTGTACCGTCACGACTTTGGACAACTGGGCCAACTAAGACATCCATGTGGTTTTCTGTTATGACAACAAAGATCCAATCCTGTCATTTCTAATCTTTCGCGTTCATTACCTGGGAGAATTGAAGATTGGTCTATCATTTCATCATACATGAACTATAACCGACCTGTTCAAAACCAACTGCCTTCGGATTCTGCCGTCCCATACCGCTTTCACGTAAGAAAGGAGAGCACGCGCGGTTTACTTCTCGCACGACAATCCACCCTTCCGCAACACAATATCAACAAAGCAACGCATACTTACCAAAGCATGATTGCGTTGCCGAATTCATATAACAGCACCGATGAATACGCGAAAGACCTCATCGAATTCATTGGATCGCCCCTAGTCCGCCAGATTACTGGGGACATCCACGTCAACGACTCACTCATCTACAATGCCTGGGACGCTCTACCCGTGGAATGGACATCCTGGTGGAAATCATTCCCAGATCATCGCATAGCCCAACAAGACTTGATCGACAGCATCGAAGAGTCGGGACCCTCCTCAGTGGCAAATGAGGAAGCAAATGAAAGTCAACGACACCAACAATTGTCAGACAGGCCAGATTCACTGTCTAAGTGGCTCGAGAGCATCCGATCGCTCGCTCTTCCACGAGATCAACGCCCCGGCAAGACTGTCGCCCTCCCAGAGATCCTAACAAGCCGCATGAAGACCAAAAAGATTGCAGAGGTCTCCACCGCCGCCGCATACATCCACAGCGTCTGCCAAACAAACAACATAACCCACATCATCGACATGGGCTCAGGCCAAGGCTACCTCTCCATCGCACTAGCCTACCTCTTCCCAGAGCTCCGCGTCCTAGCTATCGACGGCAGCGAGTCCCAAATCGCGGCCTCAAAGGCCTGCGCAGCCAGTCTCGGTATTCCCGAAAGCAGAATCCAGCATATGCGGCGCTACATCGACGGCACGCCACCTTTGGCGGACGAGATGGCGGCCTGGGCTGAAGACGAGAAGTGCATGCTGGTCGGCCTCCACGCGTGCGGGAATCTGTCTGAGCACATGCTGAGGTACTTCACCACGGTCCCGTTCATCATGTGTCTGGGCGCCGTCGGATGCTGCTACAACCACATCGTCCCGCGTTCCGCCAGTTGTCCTGATGGATTCCCCATCAGTGCAAAGATGCGAGACAGAAACGTCACGCTGAGTGCCACGGCGCTCATGACGGGCTGCCAGGCGCCGAATAATTGGGAAAGGGCAGACCCGAGCAAAGCAGAGTCGACGTACTCCAAACGTCGCTTCTATCGAGCCTTATTGGAGAAGATTTTCCACGATAAAGGGATAGAACTCGATAGGGAGGATAGACCAGTGTGGGGCGTGCGAAAGGGAGACATGGATAGCTTTAATGCGTTCGCTCGCAGAGCAATGGGATGCCTGAACGTTGACGAGAGCAAAATCAGCGATGCTGATCTCTTAGCTTATGAGGAAATGTATCGAGGATATGAAGGCAAAGTGGCGATCCTTTGGACGCTTAGTGTTCTGTGCTGCAAGGTTGTCGAGAGCGTAATTGCTCTAGATCGGTATTTGTTCCTGACGGAGAACGGGGGGCAACATGTCGATGTTGTGCCGATATTTGATTATACAATATCGCCACGGAATCTGATGCTCGTGGCTGATAAGACATAGATGCGTACTTTACCAGTACCTAGACTAAGGTAAATAAATCATGCATCATGGAGTATGGCAGACATCGCTCCCAGACATCATTCTTAATCGACCTCTTATCTTGGACACATACTGCAAACAGGCCAGGCACCAGGAATGAAGCCATATCTTTCAAGCCATATTGCGTCGAGATATTGTTCGTCATGGAGCAACTTCTACCTCACGACATGTAGGTGTCAGGTGGTCTAAAGGTCGGTCTCATGAATACAATATATTAAAGCCAACTATGTACACAGAATCCAATACACAAACCCCGAGATGCAATCTCAACAGACTCCAACCCCCTTCATATCTTAGAACATCGCAAGGGCAGCAAGACCGCACACAGCCGCGACAGCGACCCCGAAAGACGCACGCCCAGCAGACGCAACCTGCACAACAGAAGGCAAAGGCTTCGCAGTAGCAGTAGGCGCCGCACCGGTAGCAGAACCAGAGCAAGCGGTAGGCGTGACAAGCGAACCGTCAGGTCCGAAGGGGCTGTAGCCGAGGCATCCGGCGTACTGAGCAGCGCAGGTAGACATGTTGGCGCCAGGCGCGCTGCGGCACTTGTTGTAGGCGTCGTTGCAGCCGGTAACGCAGGCAGCGCCAGTGGTCGCGGGGGGGAAGACACCGGTGGTGATGGGAGGGACGGCGGTGCCGGTGGGAGGGGCGACGGTGGTGATGGGAGGGACGGCGGTGGCGGTGCCGGAGCAGGCGGTCGGGGTGACGAGGGAGCCGTCGGGGCCGAAGGGGCTGTAGCCGAGGCAGCCTGCGTAGTTTGCGGCGCAGGTGGCGCGGTTTGCGTCGGGGGCGGAACGGCACTTGTCGTAGGCGGCGGCGCAGGTGGCGGCGCACTCGGGGCCGGAGGGGCCGGTGGGGGGGACAACGCCGGTAGTGATGGGAGGGACGGCAGTGGCGGTGGGGACCACGGCGGTGCCGGAGCAGGCGGTGGGAGTCACGAGGGAGCCATCGGGGCCGAAGGGGCTGTAGCCGAGGCAGCCAGCGTACTCGGCGGCGCAGGTGGCGCGGTTGGCGTCGGGGGCGCCGCGGCACTTGTCGTAGGCGGCGGCACAGGTTGCGGCGCACTCGGGGCCAGGGGCGACGCCGGTGGGGACGGGGCCGGTGTGGGTGATGGTGCAGGGGCAGTCGGTGATGGTGAAGGTGGTGGGCTCCTTGATGGTGTAGGTGAACTTGCCGTGGTAGATGACGGTGGGCTCGGGGCAGTAGGTGGTGATGGCGGTGACGACCTGGGTGTAGGTTCCGTTGGTGAGGAGGGCGGCGACGGGTGCGACGACGGGGGCGTCGGCCACGGGGGAGCCGGAGGTGAGCTGGGCAGCGCTGATGATCAGGCCGGCCAGGAGGGGAGCCACGTGAGAAGACATGTTGTTGGGGTTTGGGTGGTGAAGACCGTGTGGTGTAAAAGAGTGTGGTATGACTTGATGTCAAAGTGGTGAATGAGTGTGTGGGTTGAGTTGGAAAGAAAGTTGAGGCTGTAGGAGAACTTTGATCATGATTTATAGGACATCGAGTTGAAGCCAAGACGGTGAATTAAACGTAAACATTTCAGCTAGCGTTGATGGCCAAGGGGTAGTTTGTTGGTAAAACTCGGATCACATCCGGTCTGGATGACATTTTACATTCCGGTGCTGTTGTGTTTGTCATGCCTCGCTCTCCAGCAAGAATTCAGTTAGTCGCGTCTCGTATTCTCTTCCCAGGAACTTCGCTCCTAGCCCCTCGTATCTCTGCTAGCGTTCTACCCGTCATGCCTGCCGACCGACTAACGCTCTTCTGCGTTCTTTCATCCTGCCGCGCCTATTTTAATCTTAAAACGCCAAAGTCTTAGCCATTTTCCTGGGGAAGAGGCGAGGGATAGGGGATGAGTGTCGGCGCCACGGTAGTGGAATGTACGCCATCTCGGCTATGGCTATCAAATCAACAACGTCAATCGTGCGTCAATCGGACTTTGGTCTCACCCCAGAGTTCATCTCGGGCCGGAATGTTTTATCCATACTAACAAGTCACCGTCCGTGTCTCTTGACACTTTTTATATGGCATGCGCCCCCGCTTGAATGTCACAGGTCGTGGTCAGGAGTCAAGGGAGGATGTCTGATACGAGATTTATCTAGTAGCCTTCTCATGCGATGGTGACGGACCGGCTGGCTCGGAATGGACTCCGACAGAGGACAAACTTTAAGAAAATTTCCTGTTCTCACATTGGCAAAAGTATTTGGATGATCAATCGCCTCAACCATCTACATTAGCATTAAGTCTTTACCTAATAACAATCTTCGCCGGAACTTGGGTAAGATTGAGTGTTCCTCTCCACAAGCGAGCTTACAGACGACCAGGGCGAACGCAGCCTGGACAGCGCCCATCCTACCGATCGTAGTCATGTGGCACGCGATACCAACAATACTGGTAGTGAGTTCATGTTGTCACCCGATTCAAGTAAGATTACTTAGCTAAGGCACAGCTGCAAGGCTGTCCTAGCTTTAGTCATCCTTCAAACCCAGTATGCAGAGAAATCCAGTCATCGCCCATCACCTTGACGCTTCCTCAAGGTGCTTCCGCTAAGCTCTGAGACAATGACATTAATGTGTGACAATGGTCCAAATTATGTACAACACCATGATCTCCACTGGGTGCCCTCGACTCACTACACTATTCTCCTGGTGAAGGCACCATCGCTGACCTCGAAACCACCTCGACACCCAGATCGCTCAGCCGGCGGTCCCAAGCGCAGAACCTACAGAGATTTCGCTTCAAGAGACCACGTCTTAGTCGGGGTTGGCACGACGGAGACGGCCGCTCACTTCCTCTCCCTGACGTGCACCTTCATCTTCATATCGTGCCTCGGCCTAGCCTCCATACCAACCATCTGGAAAGCCAAATCGCCCACCTTGTGATCGATATCCATATAATCGACCCTCTGCGTAGTCCCATTCACAATTGTCTCGAAATCGAACCACCGCACCGTGAGCAACAACATGATGCGCAGCTCATCCATGGCCAAATCCTGCGCAATACACGCCCTGGGCCCGCGCTCAAACGGCCGCCACGCAAAGCGGTGCATATCCTTGGCGTCCTCGCCCAGGAACCGGTCGGGTCGGAAACTCTTGCTGTCCTCGCCCCAGACTTTCGGGTCCATGTGCGTCGAGTGCGCGCAGGGGATGACCATGAGGTTCTTGACGGGCCAGCGGCGGCCGTTCCACTCGAGGTGCGTGGTTCCGGGCGGGGCTTGGCGGATGGTGAAGCCGATAGGGAAGAAGCGGAGCGTCTCCTTGATGACGGCGTTGGTGAAGTCCATGTCGTTTGTCTTTTGCGGGTTCGCGATGAGCATCTCGACGGTGGTGTCGAGGTCCGGGGAGAAGTGCTCGTCGTGCTCGGCGCGGAGGCGGGCGACGACGTCCGGGTAGAGGGAGAGGAACATTGTGACCCAGGTGAAGGTATCGGTGGTGGTGCCGTGGCCTCCGAGGAGGAGGGCCTTGAGGCTGGTTTGGTTGTTAGCAAGAATGAACGTGTGATGCGCGAGAAAAGAATTGACTAACTTGGTAACAGCGGTGTCGATGAATTCGTCGTCGAGACCCATGCCCGGTCCGCTCTGGATTCTGTCCAGGACGATGCGGTCCAAGACACTCTTGACCTGTCGTCGCGAAGGCAACTCCTTCTCGTCCTGCAGGATGCGCAACCTCTCCTTCATCTCCTTAGCCAAGGTATCCCTAACGCGATCCTTGAGCGCCTGCAACTTCTGCTGCGCCTTGCGCTTCTTCCATGGGTTGCGGGTGCCGATGAAGGTGGTGGCGGGGTTAATCGAGTTTCGCAAATCCTCAAGCAGTGGCGAACCAGACCTCTGGGCCTCGAGAGAGACACCAAACACAATCTTGCCGACAACGTCAAAGATGGTCTTGGCCGACTCCTCCTCCATGTTGAACGACTCGCCCTTGGCAGCAAACGCGCGGAGGCGCTCGTGGAAGATGAGGACCTGCTCGGCAATCATGCCGGCCATGGGCTTGACGTAGGTGGGCGTGAAGCCGGAGCCGACCATGCGGTGGTTGTACTTCCAGCGGTCGCCGTTGGAGGCGGCGATGCTGTCCTTGCCGGTGAAGGGGCGGAGGAACTGCTCGATGGTGGGGTGCTTGGGGTAGGGATTCGTGGTGAGGACGAGCTGGGCGGCGTCCGGGTCGGTGATGATGACCTGGGACTCGACAAAGGGCCACATGTCGACGTAGAAGATTCCGCCGAGGTTGTACTTTTGCGCCATGATGGTATAGATGTGCTGGGGGTGGGTGAAGAGCGGGAGGGTGGCTGCCAGCTCTTCCCAGATGATTGTGTGCGCCCAGATCCATGAGTGCTTTGGCGGTTGAGGCTATTGTGAGAAGACACCAACAGAGTCAGCATTGTGGCTTTCGTGAGCTGCACGCTTTGCGCCTGTCTGCATGGTCGCTGGCGCAGGACGTGACGGAGTGAGTTGAGAATGAAGCTCTTACCAATCCTCTGAATCTGGTTCTCATGTACACGGCCTTGAAAGCCCAGTACACGGCCGTGGCGAGAGCCACGCTGGCCGCGATGAGCCAGTTGGAAACGCCAAACATCGTGAGCCTCAAAGCTTGGGGGGTATCGCCAAGCTATTTCCCGATAAGATGACAAAAGGGAGGGGAAGAAAACGAAACAAAAAAGGGACGAAAGAACTCTTGCTGCCCACACGCGCAGTACAAAAGAAGAGAAAAAACTACGGAGTGAAGGAGATGGCGGGGTATTAGGGTCAATTCTCATCTACGACCTACCAATCCTAGGCTCTACGTAATGTCACATTCGGGGCAGAATAACCAGAGGAAAAATGCCTCTCTCTCTCTCACTCACTCAGACTTTTTTTTTTTCTTCAGCAAGCGGGGGTCTGTAGGTTTGGTCCTTTTTGATGTGATCGTCCTCCCGCCAGCGCGTCTTGCTGGGGGGAGGGGGTGTGCGATGCGTGAAGATGGTTGCATCCTTTGTTGAACGGTGGGGTCGAGAGGATCAGATTAGATGATCTGATAAGATGATTGAAAGAGATCAGTGATCCCGGATTGGATGAGTTCAGAACGGCCGACATGGGTGGGAAGGGGAGGGCGTGAGATGAGTAAAAAGGCCACGCAGGAACTACAGGAAGTTCCCGGAATTGGTTCCATGTCGTGATGACTGAGGGGGCGTGGATGGTGGTCAGAAACGCCGTGGGCCCCAGTTTCAATGGCTTCAAGTTGTTTAGCGCGGGTTTGCAAGCTTTTCGCGGCGGACTCGACCAGTCAACGTGCGGAGGATTCAGTTTTGTTTTGTCAACGGTCCGGTCCGCTCATCGGCACTGAGATTCAGTGACGATGCGGCGTTGCTTCGTCTCTTCATACAGCCACCTGAAGCTGCTAGGTGCGTGTGATGATACGCCCATGTCGAGAGCACTGCAAAAGATTTCTTCATCGACTTTTACGGTTGCTGGATTTTGCACTTCCGCGGCCAGTTACTAATGTTGATGCTGGCTGAATGGTACGTTGTATCCATTATGTTTTTGCGTGCAGAGAGCTAGGCGGAATGTGGGTGGGAGTCCGCCGATGCGTGGCCGATGACCCAGGAACCTTCAAGGATTCGAAAAAGGTTCAACCGTGAGATGGTGCGCCTAGCTTTCATCGACCTCCTTGAAGTATCGTGGGCAGGCTTCTTCCTGGCCTCACGGAGGGAGCTTTTCAAATCCGACCGCAACTGAGACTCAAGAGTGCCGAAGCTTCAATGCCTGGCAATGAAGCTAGATGCCAGACTCAATGACGGAGAATTCTGTGAACCTCACTCTCAGAGACAATCCACCACCACATAATCCACATCCCGCCGGTGGGATAGGTCCACAGGGCCTTGGCTGGGCTGCTGAATTGCGTCTTCTCCATCGCGACGGGGAGTCAGCGGGGAGTCAACACGAGCTTCAAAGCCAATAAATGCATGCTGCAGTTCAGTAGTTGTACCACTTACTATGCATAGCAATTCAAGATTTTCGTACAGAGTAAGTAGGCCAACATCGGCATCTTCCCGCGACTGTAAAGCGATCTTTTGCGATTCTGGCTGCTTACAGCATGAACTTTGGGCGACCCCCAGAGGAGTAAAAGCGAATTCGTACTCAGTGCGCGAGGTGGGGAAGAAGAAGAAGAGAAAAAAATACCACTTAAGACGAACCCCTGCTTCTTCAGCAGATGCTAAGCTTTCTAGGACAGCGGCACGGCGGCTACGATCTTGACAGCACCAACAAAGTTGAGCATTTCCACTGATGGAACAGGCTGGCGCATGTGAATACTGTGTTGGTAGGTAAGTAGGTACCTTGCTTCATGCATTAGTAACTGACGGCAAAACGTCAGCTATCTACCGTGAAACCCCAATTACATAAGGTACTTGCTTATGTAATCTCAACGTTCCATGAGAAATCGAAAACTTTCGACTCATAAGCCATCAAAAGACATCAACTGGTCTAAACAAAAGGCAAAAGTTCCGAAACCGAGAATCGAACTCGGGGCTATGCCTAACCTCTCAAGGGAATGAGAGGGCATCATGTTGGCCACTACACCATATCGGATGTTGATGTCAGGTGGTCAAAGATTGAGGCTCGAGTATTCTGTGTGCTGAGGGTGGAGCTGGTGCTGGGCTTACCCTAGGTCTCCTTCCCCCAAGGATAGTGCTAGTGACGGCGTGTCAGGAAAGCGGCTAGCCGCATCGTCTGCTCTGTCATGTTCTCTTTCAGGTTGGAAATGGAGACCGGACACGAAAAACAAGTCGAGGACGAGGGAAAGAGAAGGACGAGAATTAGCTGTCCTCCGTGCCAGAGCTCCAAGGTGGATGCACAGCTTACTAGACGGAGATCTCCAGATCTTCTTCACGGACAACAGAAGCGGCGTAATAACGCACGCAATCGGCTCCGGACAAATCTTGTTCAACGGACAACCGGTGCGCGCCAAGTGCCGTTGCCTATCGTCCTCGACCATATGTGAGGACGCCAAGGCAACATTCGATGTAGCCAAGAAATGCATCATGCATGGCTGCTTTGCCTCGCTGAGCATGCATCGCGTTCTCATCTCATGTTCAAAGCGGGCGCCATCCGCATCACAAAGCCGCCCATCTCATCGGCATGGGCCGTAGTTCGACTCGACCAAACTTTCATTGGACAAAAACCAACAAGTCCGTCCCGAAACAAAAGGATTATGACAAGAACGAGATTCGAACTCGCGCGTGTTTCCACACCAGCAGGATCAGATTTAACCTGAAGCTGGCGCCTTAGACCGCTCGGCCATCTTGCCATGAAGCAAATTGCGGAAGCGGGTTGGGACCCGCTGCGGAGTGAGGCCCGAACAGAGGGTCTCAAGACGACGCGGCGGAGCCGACTCCGTAAGCATTGACTAGCAGTGCACAAGGGAGCAAACGACGAGTACTCGAGAAAACAGAGCGAATGAATTGCGTTGCTAAAAGGTATCTTGGTTGAAATCAAAACCGGCTAGAATGGTGGTATCATCGGATCCTCTGATATTGCGTCAACGCCCATCCCTGTACGTTCATCCCGTGTGTCTCCCACCAAGCTTAACTTTCCGTGTTATCCTTATTGGACTTGTGTGTAGAACCTTTGTCGAGGAGTTGCGTAAAACCGACCCGCTTAGGCAGTCTTCTTGCCGGTAGCGACCTGTCGACCTTGCGAGGTGTACCGGACGTAGGCATAGCCGCCGGCCGCGATGACGCCAATGATGACGAAGTTGCCTGTTGGTAAAGGAGATCAGCAACAAGACGACGAACAGCTGCATTGGTGATGTGGGACTTACTTAAGACAAACTTTCCGAGTCCGCCAACGACATCGATTGCGCCTTGGAATACGTCGGTAATGAGGTTGACGAGACCGGTGAAGAAGCCGATGATGGTGTTGAAGATGGTCTGCAGAACGTGATAGAAGGCGTTGAAGATGGAGGAGAGGAGCTCGTAGATGCTACTAAACAGATCCTGGATTGCGTTGGAGACGGCCATGGTGACGGTTGTGATAGTGTTGTGGTTTTGGTATTGTTGGAGTGTCTGGTTTGGAGCGAGCTTGGAAGTCTGGATGCGATCGGGCAAAGGTGAATAAATGAGAGCTTCAGATTTGGCTCCAACAGCTCAAGAGGTCGATTGAAAACTGGCCGCACCGTTAGCTTTAAGAAAGGAGCCCACGCGGACGACAAACAACGTCCTTGTGACGCGATGGGCGCTGCCGCCTGAGACTTGGCTAACCCCAAGCGAACCAAAGCGGCGGGTTGGCGCAGGCAGGAGCCGACGCCAGTAACTGCCATGTGTGGTGAGAATTGTCGCCTGTGACGTCGGCATCGTGACGTCACCAGCCACACAGGCAATCACACAACGTTGTTCCAGCCACGCACCTTCCCATTCGTGCCATTCTCACCAGTAACAGTTGGGCAGCAGGAGCAGGTACGTACTCCGTGCACCATACCTGCCACAGGAAGGAGGATAGAGCGGAGGGGTTCGTCCGGGCGGGAAGGAAAGGGGAAGGGAACCGATATTGTCTCTCGCTTGTGGCTGCCGTCATCACGCATTCAAGCCACCTTTTACCCACGTGCCCCTGTCTCCTCATCCAGGACATGCTAAGAAAGGGAGGAGGCGTTTGTACGGCCAGGAGCCCCGAGCACCTCAATTACTTCATGTTTGTTTTCCACATCGTACGGTATGCATCGTTCCCGGTTGTTAGTGATATAGAGCTGTACCCTACACCGATCGTTCTCGGGGGATAGCAAGTTGAGAATCCAGCGACTCAGACCTCGTTGGATGTACGGCCTTATACTAAGCACCTAGAGGTGATTCCGCAGTTCGGAATCCATGAGCTTTCTACGCCATCCCTAGTCCTCTGATCGACCAAAACTTGGGCGAAGCCATTCTCGTTACAGCGCGCTGCATTGGCTGAAATCAAATAGTTCAGAGGGGACCAGCTGTCATATCGATGCCTGTGCGACAAGTTCAAAGATTGTACTTGGATATTTGTCTATGTGCCATATGTTTCAATCTTTATACATAAACAACATGAGTCGCCTTCTTCCATCATAGAAGAAACATCTATCAAACCAATATCCCAAGCCAAAAAAAAAGAGCTCCTTAGTTGGCGGCGCAGTTGTGAGGGTTGCCAGTACCGTCAGCCTTCTCCTTGGCTCCAATACCGCAAAACTTGAGATCCTTGGTGTAGTACACACGCATGGGACCAGGGCGGTTGGTAGTCCCCTTCTTGGCGTTAAAGTCGTAGCGCTTGCCGTCTGCCAGGACAGGGAGCTCGTAGACGGTGCCGGAGCATCCCGAGGCAAATGTCATCACATTGCCCCTGTTGTCAAACGGCTTGGGGTATCCGCTGGAGCCTGCGGTGGTCTTGGCTTCGCGGAGGTATCCGATGGATGTGTCGTATTTGACTGTTCCGTACAGGGCGCCGTCGTTCTTGGCTCCTGCCTTGCAGGTGTAGGACTATTGAGAATTGGTTAGTTTTGATGCGATTTAGAGATGGTGGGCAGGAAGACTATGGAGTAATTACCTGGCCGGACTGACGAGTCTCGATGGTGCCGTCTTCGCCCAAAAGGGGGGTCGGGCTGGCGATGCTGGCGGTAGCAGCAAGAAGAGTGAGGATGTAAGTGTAAGAAACCATCTTGACGGATTGATGTTACTAAAAGTGATTTGCGAAGTGAGTGTGAGAAACGGTTGAATGTTTTCAAGTTGTAAAAGAGTGTAAAAGGCTTTGAAGTACCATTGGATGAGGAGCGAGCTTGAGATTTCATCATTTTGACGGTGCAAGACGACGCTATTTATCCCATGAAGTTGAGTACTTGTTGTTTCTTCTCTTCTAGGCCTCCAAGATGTCTCGAGGGAACTTGTCAGCCATGTTCCCGGTCTAGCCGAGTGAACATGGTCTATGCTCACACTTCGTTGCGAGTCAGTGACGCATCAATGTACGGCCGCCAATATGATCTGCTTAGGTATATCTCAGAGACCTAATTATATTCTTACCCAACTTTGGCTACAGTCGGGACAGAATAAGATGAGCTTCGATGTATCATGTAGACCATGAACTCAATCACGATATAGCCTAGCCTCAATATACTCAACTTTCAGACAGACTATGCCAACTTACTTTCACAACTAGACATGAACACGACTCTTCGCATCTCTTGTTACCAGACATACATGATAAGTCATAAATTCTCCATAAGGTGTTAGAAACTGCTAAGATATTTGCTGGTATTGAAGACAAGTTGATACTTGCGTGCATCTCAATCTTTGATGGCTAGATGCCGGCATGCAATGGGGCCGAAGCTCTTGTGCAACATCGAAGGAGTGAAGGATCCCAAAGTAGCATTCAGCCATCTCACTTCGGGCCTACATATTCCCTGACGAGCTGACTCACACCTTCAAAGCATCAATATGTGAGTGAAAGACAACAAGGTCATTTGTGAAAGATCCTGAATGACTGACAAGTGAGTTGCCCTATTCCTACGCCATAATACATCGGCTAGACGTGCCGAACGAGCGTGTGTGATGGCTCCGCCGGTCAGCACCAGGTCATTTTTACGAGACATTGACATTGCCAATCATGGAATCGTATGTTCGCCGAGTGTTCATGGCTATCTCCACCAAATGTAACCTTGCAGCGAGCGGGTCCATGCCTCCATAGCCGGCCTGGACGATGCGTTCTCTGAGTCTAAAACAACAAACACCGTCTCTGTTATCCAAGTATGCCAAGCTACAAGTCATCATCTCATTAGTCGTAATAGAGCACTCTAGGGCTCGCCTGAAATCCGGAACGAGCGGAAGTCTAAGTGTTGATATTGCTTCTAGGTATGTTGCCAACGTAATAGCATGTCAAATAGCTCAAACTTCAACGTCAGCTTGGTAACAAACTCCAGATAGACTAGAAAGCCGGGGTATCTGTAGATCATGGTTCTAAGAAAGGCAGAAAAATCGAACGACCTCATTCTTCTGCCTAGATATCTCCTCCTTCGGACGATTCGAACATCATGCTTGGCACGGGACCGGGCATTGCCATCACCCCTTTTATTGACAGCAAGGTTCATAGGACGACCAAGTATAGCTAACATACCCCAAACAAATCACGTCTTTAGACTTTGCTAAACTTTGGTTGCCTAGCAGAAAACGAGCTCTGGGCGTCTGAAGTTCATGGTGCACCGGCGCCCCGGCACGGGTTGACGGCATGGCGCCGTTTGAGGGGAAAAGGCGGGGACCCCCTTTTAGGGCTGTGCAGGGCGCCGACGGGGACGCCGGGCCCCGAAACACGGCCCCCCATCCTGGCACGCACTGCGGCCTGGAGGCGCCATCCCTGGGGCCTGAAGAGGCCTGGCGACTTTCCCTTTCCAGAAGCCGGGCTTTTATTTATGGGCTAGGGGGTGAACTCTAATTAAAAGTGTTCGCCGGATGACGGCAGCTTTACTTGAACTACCAAAAGTCGATGCAACTGTCAGTCACCCCGACGACCCAATTGACACGTTGTCAAGCAGTAAATTCAACGATATCTGGAAGAAGAAACCTTTCTTTACAGCTGCACTTCAATCCAGCAAGTAACAAACGGTCAATTGCAAAGTCATCCTATCTCACAACCAACAATGGCGACAGTGCATGTCCAACTAGAAGACCCCGGTGCGCCTCCCTTCGCCGCCAGAGTCGTCGAGATACTCAATTTGGTCTTCGGCTCGAATAATACTATCTCAGCGGAAAAGGCCGCCGCGGCAATAAACTCGCTTTTCATTTCGGATTACGAAGAACATGGCACAGCAGGTTCTTTCCTCTGGTGGTTCTGGGACCTCATGCACGATCTAGCCCGCCAGATCCCCTACGACCGGCGTGAGCAAGATCAGCTGGCGGCAGTCATCGAGGCGCTCACCGGTCTTCCAACCAAAAGCGTAATTCTGGGCGAAGAATGGGGAGGTGCAGGTGACAGCTCGGTCGATGTGTGGAAGAGCCTAACCATCTTCGCGAATACCTTCAACGAGACGCTCAGTGACGGTAAGATCACGCCCCCGATTCCGATCTTGCGACGACCTTTGAGATTCCCTCCCTCCATAGATCACTTGCTGAAATGAGACCGCCAGGTGATTCAAGAGCTCCCAGTGAAGAAGCAAGAAAAGATCGCCAGGTGAACCTGCAAGCTTACGCAGCCCGAGTCGCAGGCCTAGGCCTCGTCCCCCTAGAAACAAACGCCATCTGGGCGCTCGTAGACGCTCTAGAAGGCACCGTCAAGCCCGTTCGCGGCGCTCCAGACGAGATCGACTCAGATCCAGCCGCCGTAGAGGATATCACACACAAGACACGTATCGCCGCAGCCTGGATGATCCACGCCGGCCACCTCTTACACGGGCGCAATGAGGTGGTGAGCGGGGCAACAGCTGGACCCCTGTGGAAGCTCGATAAGAAGGAAGCTGTGAAGTTGAGGCGCAAGTTCAAGGGGACTGATGGGCTTTGTGCCGAGCGGTGGCAGCTGTGGAAGGAGAGGTTTGCGGTTATTCGAGATGCTGAGGGGCTTGATGAGGGGGCGCGGAGGGATGCTGGCGATGCTTACACAGCAATGGAGAAGATTGAGAAGAGATTGTAGGTATTAGTTGAAATCCATTGCATGACCGAGGATAAGACACTGCCGTCTCTTGTTTGGGTCCCCTCAACTCTCTTACCACTCTAAGGGTATATTCTTCCATGCAGTGATGTATATGAGCTTCGATAATCGTCTTTGAGGTAGCGTTACCGGATTCATCCCCCGTGTTCCCAGGAAGTTCGTAAAAGCCTTTTCGGCTTTAGCTCTTACACACCGAGATCTCACGTATCACATTCCTCATGTTGCCTCCTCGATCCTCCGACAACCTCTCTACCAGGGTGTCCCGATCCTTCGGATCGCTGCCGGGGTAGCCACCTTCCCCATCCCGACTTAGTCTGGTCGCCAGCTTACAGCCAAGACTCTACGGATCCCTCTTCATCTTCAACCTCTCTCCAAAACGGTTTGATGGATTCAAGCCACGGCCTTGGGTCCTTCTGATTCTGCTCTGGCGCAGGATTTGAAGGATGAGAAAAGATAGGGGACCTGGATGAAGTTGAACTCCCTGGTACGGGCGTAAGTTTCAACAGCTAGGATGCGTCTGAGGAAAGCAGGTTCTGGTATTCATACAAAACCATGTGCCGTTCACCTCACCGAGCTGATTGATGTCAACCACAACGTCGCCTACCCAATCCCTCACTTCCGTTCATCGACCGAACGTAGCCTCATCCGCCAACATTCTGCCCATAGCAATAACAAAATGAAAGCCGCCATCATCCTCTCCGCTTTTGCTACCCTCCTCGCCGGCGTCAACGCCGTTGCCATGAGTGAGAACCAGCACGTCGTAAGGGCACTCGTAAGCAAACCCATCTTCATAGAACAATCCAAGTCAATGAATGCTAATTTATACCTGGTACAGATTGAGGCTCGCTGCCATTGCGACGGCACCTGCTGCAATGGCTATTGGTGCACCGACACCGATGTTGGAACTTGCTGTAACGACGTGCCTTGCTAGGTTCTCCGAGTTGAATGAAAGAGAGAGACGACAGATGTGGTCTGCTCGTATACACTGCCGTCGGTCCATCTCTAGCTAGAACGTAGTTGTAAATTGCTCACGCGACGAATGGTCAAGCCTGTGAAATTACAGTGATCTCCTGTCATCGCAAAGCGATGTCTCTCCATCTCGACTTGTCAAACAACATCGTTCATCAACAAAGAAACCAGTGCTTTCTGACCCCGGACCGGGACGGTGAACCCACGAAACGGCGTCAGCCTATCTCAAGTATCTTGAACCTACTACGGCAATTCAGTCGCGTTCTCGGGAAGCCCAACACTCCGCCCATCATAAGCCAACCTCCACCGCCCACTCTCCCAAACATCCCAATCCCCCGCCCTCCCAGCATCCCCATTCAACCTCAAAGCCCTTACCCTCCAGAAATACGAACCAGGCGGCACATACTTCCTATTCTCCTCTGACCCATCCCAGACCCACCAACTCGACGGCGCAGCCCAATTCCCCGCACTACCCCTAAACGTCCCAGCCAATACATCCTCGCCCGTCTCGGCGCTGACTAGGTCGTAGGTATACTCCCGGCTCGCCGTGACAAACACCTTCCGGAACCCGGGGAAGCCGAGGTCGCAGGTGACCGGCCACGCTGGCTTCGGGATGGTTCCGTTGAAGAGGCATGTGAAGAGGGTATCGGGCGGTACTTCCGTGTCGACTTGTGTGTCGGTGTTGACTTTGACGAGATGCGATGCGTTGGGGTTGATCATTGGGATATCGACCAAAGGCGTGCCGAAGCCGGTGTATGGAACCGTGAGCGTGTTCGCCTCAGATGCAGAGGACACGATCTCGATGTAGCCTCCAAAGAAGATACCCCTAGACGTCGCTGGAAGCGATGGGTTGGACCGGACAGAAACCGAGATGGATATAGATCTGCCCGGGGCAAGCTCCACCTCTGCCGGCGAGATATCCACGTCCGCATACACCGGATGCCCTTCCGCACCAGACAAGCCGTACGGATCCGTCTCGCTCAGGATATACCCCGACGCCGCACCCAGGTGTCTCAACTCGTACTTCAACGTCTCCGTCCCCGTATTCTTCAGACTCAACGTCAGGGCTTCGGGCCGATGCGCTGTGTCATTGAAGTCCAAACTCGAAATATTTACCAACGAAGCGGTGTGAACAGCATCCCACGCATCAACAAGTCCACCACCCTGACTGAAAACCGGCGCCAGAAACTCCTTCCTCTGCCTTGCATCATCAATGAACCGCACCGGCTTCGCAGTCGACGCCACCACCGCGAGAATTTGCTGCGGATCGTAGTCTGGATGCCGTTCCTTCACCAGGGCGTACACGCCCACGGCAAACGGATTCGACATGCTCGTCCCGCCGACAACAGCTACACCGCCATACCTCGGCAGGAACGTACTGAGGATATTCTCCCCCGGCGTGATGAAGGACGGGTAACTCTTGCCCTCGGGCGTCGGACCCCAGCTAGAGAACCCGGAGACGAAACCACCCGAAATATCATTGTCTCTGTATAACACCTCCTCATGCGCCTCGGAGATATTCGAGGGGACGGAGATCCGTACAGAGGAGCCGTTTGAAAGTAGGCTTGCGAGGAAAAGTCCATCCTCGTTGGAGATCCGAGCAATGCCCTTGTAATCCCTGGAATACTCCGCAAACCCAGGCCGCCACTGCATTCCATCAACGACTGAAGCCGACGCAGGTTGATACCGCAACACGTACGGAATCCCCAACCCAAGCGCGAGCCGAGTTGACGTATTCCCCGGACTCAACCAGCAATGATCTTCCTCAATGAGCATAATGGTATGCGCCGGGTCGGCGGGAGGAACAAAGCCCCCCGGCGCGGGGTTACACCCCTCTGGCAACCCTTCCGCAGGGCCTGGACTCCATAGAGTGAGGTTATTCCCAGCAGGAAAGTTGGCAGGAAACTGTGGCGCGTAACGAACAAAGCCGGCATCATCGCCAGATGTGAAGTTGGCTCGCCACGTGTAATACGGCGTCGCAGAATTATCCGCCGACCCGATCGCCGCAGCACCACGGGCGTTGGCGGGTGATCCGCCCGTGAACAAACCCGGCCCGGCATTCCCAGACGCAACCGTCACCGCCGTCCCATTTGCAACAGCCTGGCTGACCAAACGAGCAACGGGTTCTAGCAGATTAACCGAACAATGTCAGCTTCGGTATCACTCAGAATCTGGGCAGATTCCCGTGTAACGCTGCGCACTCACCCTCTTCAAAAGCAAGCCCGATCCCATACCCAATCATGATAAGATCAACCCCCTTGCTACTAGCACTCTCAATGGCAGCCATCAAATCATCCAACCCACCCGGCGCAGCACCTTCACACGGATCAAGTCCATACAGTTCAACCGTCACATTCGGCGCCACGCCTACTACCCCAAACTTTCTTTCCTCGCTTTCGGCGGCAATGATACCCAGAACATGCGTCCCGTGCAAGAAGTTGATGCAATTATCACCTCTAAAGTTGAAGGCATCCTCGACGTAGTTGTAGTTATATGTAACTCGTGTCTGAGAGAGCCCAGGGGATGCAAGATCGAAGCCCGTGTCGATTACTGCGATGTTTATGCCGTTCCCGAGGGTGCCTTCGGCGTGGAGGCGGGATACACCTGTGTCGTTGTGTGTTGGGAGGGTGGGTGATTCGTACAACCCGCTGTTGGCGGCGGTGGTGGTGGCCTGTCGTTTGACTATGTGTGTTGTTTCCCCTGGGAGAGCTCCATGTTGTTGTTGGGGACGTTGCTGTCCGCGTTGAGGCGTTTGATGACTCCGCGAAGCGAAAGAAGCCTTCTTTACAACGTCTAGGGATTGAATCATAGGCAGTATTTCGCTCCGGACTATTTCCCTATCTCCCTCGCATGACAAGCCAAACGAGAAGCCGCGAAAGAATGAGGAACTAAATGTGTGACGGCGTGTAAATATGCATTCGTGCTCGAATAAGCGTTGTTCTATGATGTTGAAAACAATGTCTGGATTCTGGAAGGGCAGGTGAGTCTCATGAGACAAGTTGATACATTTTACATTTGATATCTTACCTGTTGCGCGCGTTCAGTCAGTTCTACCAGAACGATCCTCGGGACCTCGTTGGTAATATTAGTTTGCTCAACGATGGCCAGCGCAAAGGCCACCGCGAGGTGAAGCAAGATGACCAAGAACCTCATATTCGGAACGAGTGACTGAGACAATACGAAGAGAGGCAGAGCCCGTTGTAGATTAGGTAGCCGATGAAGCTGTCTTTTGTAGTTCGCTCGATATAGGAGGACGTGGGTAGAGTGAGGACGGACTTGAGAAATACCCCACGCGTCCCGCGGACGCTATGTAGAACCCCCTGACTGCCGAGAAAACCATCAAAACTCTATGAAGAAGATTAATTGAAAGCAACATGGATATGCCACTCCCGAGAGATTGTGTCTCGATAATCCGGGCTTTTCAAGGCTCCGTCTAAGTAGGGATGTAGGTGGGACACTACAAGGGGTGATCAGGGGATTGGCTACTACGTAGCAGCGGATATGAGTGATAATATTGAGCCAAAACTTTGATGCAGCAATGATAGATAAAGATAATATTTGTGCCAATCTTTGGCGTATTGGCAGGCTACGCTGTAATATGAAGTGGTAAACCGAAAAGTGATCTAATGGAGAAATCCAACGCTTGCTCTATCGATTTCTTTGTGCAGCAACAATCCTAATACCTGAGGTATGCATCGTAACCCATTCGATGAATGGGATCAGTCTCAAAAGGAAGTCAGTAACGACGGACATTATGTCGTCTTTCTCGTAGTCGTATGGATCAGTCCGACTCGGCCGAAGCCTCTGGCTGGACCCGCTCCTCCGACAGCTTCGGGTTTCTCAACGCAAAAGCAAAGCCAACCATAGGCACGCAGATGCACAGTCCAGCAATGCACAGAAGCCTTTGCACACCGCGATAGCTGTCAATGATAGCGTCTCTGATCTCTCCGCCGACCGGATAATCTTCGATGGTGGAGAATGGCGAGTTGTAGACCAGCGCCGCCAGGGTTTTGTTCGGCTGGAACTCGAGGTTAGACTCGAGAGAGGGGTAGAGAAGTTGCGTCCACATGGCTCCCGACAGACAGTTTCCGAGAGCGCTTCCGACGTTGAAGATGGCGAGGTAGAGACTCGTAACGACGGCAACGTGCTCCCGATCGGACGACGCTTGGATGGAGGCCTGTGTTGGGTACGCAAACAGACCACCCGCCAGACCCATAATGATTTGGCCGGCAATAAGACCAGACTGTGAAGCAGAAGAAGCTCCCCCGGGGTATAATATGAGAAGACCAAAGGAGGCCGTGAAAATGCAAGCGCCAGTGATGATGATGCCCTTAAGTCTTCGAATCCTATAAATGACGACGCCCATCAAGACCCCGCTAAAAACGCCAAAGAAGGAGAAGAATGACAAGATGCGAGTGGCCGTCTCAATAGGAAAGTCGAAGGCCACGACAAGAACGGTGTACAAATAGTTCCCCTGCGTCGACCAAGCAAAGTTGAGAAGACTGCGGACGGCCAGGGCGGACCAAACGCCACGATCTTTGAGGAGACGGAAGGGAATGAGTGGAACTTGAGCGTAGCGGCGCTCCCAGAAGATGAAGGCCGGGATGCAAAGCAGCCCAAAGGCGAGCGGAATGATGATTCCCGGGCTCTTCCAGTGGCTCACAGTTCCTCCCGCCAAAGTCAGAGGTGCCAGGGTGAAGGAGAAGGCGGCAATGAGAACAGTAAGGCCGACGGCATCGAGTTGATGGAAGAGGTCGACGGTAGCCTTCTTCGACTCGGCATGACGATCAGCCTTTCGCGAGCGCTGGCCAAAGGTGTAGAGGCTAGTGAGGAGTGGGATGGAGCAGATGGGCAGGATGATAGCCCACATTCCAATGCCCCACCGCCATGATGTGACTCGCAAGACGGCCGAGGTGACGTTGCCGCTGATCCAGGTGTTGAATACGAAGGGGATAGCCGGGA